CCCGAGTGCTGGGATTAAAGGCGTGCGCCACCACCGCCCGGCTCACAAGCTTGTTTTTAATGAAGATAAGAAATTGAACAGCACAGATTGGCTGATATCCTTTTTTTCCCCCTTCTAGACAAGGTCTTGTGTATCATAGACTAGCTTCAAACTCACTATGTTACATGGCTCCATAGATTTTTAAAATGTGATTGTAAGATCCATTCACAGGATATATAAATGCAGGTCCCAAGCAAGACCCCCGGAACATGATAATCAATTTTTAAAAAAATATTTTGCACAGATAGCAAATTCCAGTGGCTTGCTTTATTTCTTTTCCATCAGACTTTCACGTAGTCAAATGTGGCTTTAATCTCTCTGTGTGGCCGGGAAGAACTCTGAACTTTTGATCCTTCAACCTCTGGCTCCAGATAGATTCCCCAGGAACTGGAGTTAGTTACAGGCGATGGTGAACTGCCTGACATAGATCCTGGGAAGCAAACTTGGGTCTTCTGAAGAGAAGCAAGCTCTTTTGAGTGCTGAGCCATTGCTCCAGGCCCTGGGTGTCTTAACTAAGGGCACTAACAAACCTCACCGTTTTAATTGAACTAGATGGTGAAGGATGTGGCGAGAGATGAAAACAGACCATGAAGGCAGAGGAGGTAATCGAAGGACAAGGGGAGGAATCGCTTTATCTGAAAATGACAGGGCATTGCTTACAATCACAACTTTTCTATGTACGACAGACAGCCTTCCTCTAGAAGACTAATTTATTTTAGGTGATTCTAGAAAGAAAAAAAAAGAAAAGACTAATAGGTGGAATGCAAAAGTTAGCTACTTTGAGTGCTACTCAAAAAGATTCTGAGCCAGGCTTGGTGGCACATGCCTTTAATCCCAGCACTAGGGAGGCAGAGGCAGGTGGATCTTTGAGTTTGAGGCCAGCCTGGGCTACAGAGTGAGTTCCAAGACAGCCAGCACTACACAGAGAATCCTTGCCTTGAAAAACAACAACAACAAAAAGTTTCTGGCTGGGACTGCTATCATACACCTTTGATGACTGCACTTAGAAGGTATATGCAGGCAGATCAGGAGTTCAAAGTCATGTTCAGTTATATTATGGGTTCAGGGCCAGCCTGGAATGTATGGGATCCTTTCTCAAAACAAAACAAGGAATGGAGGTGTAGTTACATTGAAAGAGTGCTTGCCCAGCATGCATGGAGTGCTGTGTTTGGCTCCCAGTACCTCATAACCAGACATGGCAGCACATGACACCTGTAATCCAAGCACTTAGGAAATGGAGGCAGAGTTCAAGGTCATCAGGAAGTTTGGCCACACAGGAAGTTTGAGGCCAGTCTGAGATACATGAAAAACCCTTTCTCAATATACATATATACATATATATATATATATATATATATATATATATATATATATATATATATATATATATTCTGGTATTTCCCATTTTGTATGCCAAATGGCTTCCTCCAAAAGTAGTGAGCACCTAGTCTCTGAAAGTATTCCAGTTAAGTCTTGAATTCATAGTGCTGGTAAAGGGACCTACCAACAGCCATTGGAATAGTCGTCAAGGTTGTCGGGACCAATGCTGCCTCAAGCCAGTGCTCTGGGACACAGCGGGGCCAGCTAGAGCCGATGGGCAGGCAGGGCTGACCTGTGCCTCTCTCTGCAGCATGCATACCTGCTGAAGCTCAAGGTCATGTACACTGTCGGCTACAGTTCCTCCTTGGCCATGCTCCTGGTCGCCCTCAGCATCCTGTGCTCTTTCCGGTGAGAACATATCGCCCATTCTCAAGCACCCCCAGCCCTCGTGGACACAGCCCTCAAGTCTTCCTATTTCCTTGGGATGGAAAGAGGGAGGTCTGGGTGGGTTGCCTGGCCATTTTGTGAAGCTGAGGACAACTATAAATGTGGCTCAACACAAAATTGGAAACTTAAAACATATTTTTTTTTGTAACTCAAAAAAAAAAAAAACCCAGTAAATTTTGTAGATGACAATGTGCCGTTAGAATGTCATGCAAATGATTGTTTGTAGACATATGTATGCCCTGCAGTTGGATAGCCCTGGATTTAATGTGTATACGAAGACAGTTCTTTGTCCGGTACAGTCCAGAGAAGCTAAAAAGTTGAGGGGCTTCCTTGGGGGGGGGCTAGGGGTGTGGCTCTGTTGGTAAAGTACCCGTCTAGCAAGCACAAGCCTGGGTTCAATCCCTGCTCTGCATACACTGGCCGTGGTGACACAGGTCTGTGGTGGCCCTAGGTGGAGTAGGAGGATCAGAAGTCCATAGTCGTTCTTGACTATGTAGGCAACTGGAAGCCAGACTAGGCTGCCTAAGATCCTATCTCAAAATAAAATATGGGGAGGACCAGTATCAAACTTGCAGTCCCTAGAGCACAGGGAGAAAATCCGGTAGCTGGAGGTGGCGCTCGGTCGGGGCCGAAGACAGGTTGCTGTTGCAAAACCAGTGATTATGTTACTCTGTTCTCGTCTGGTCTATTCTGAGTCACCGTATCGCCATGTAGCCCCTACTAGCCTAGAACTCGAGGTGATCCTTCTGCCTCCACCGCCCGCATGCTAGAATAACAGGTATGCACCACTGTGCCTGGCTTTCTTTTCTTCAGTACCGCAGGGTTGCACCACCCACCTCGGGACCTCTGCCCTCATGCGGGTTCATCCACGGAGAGAGATGGGACCTGAGGGCTTTGGCTCCCCCGTGTAAGGGAAGGGCAGGGAGGGGCAGGTAGACCCCGTCAGAGCACCAGCCCCTCTTCCCATGGTCTTGCAGCCCCACATTCTCTCTGACAGGCGGCTGCACTGTACCCGAAACTACATCCACATGCACCTGTTCGTGTCCTTCATCCTGCGCGCCCTGTCCAACTTCATCAAGGATGCTGTCCTCTTCCCCTCCGATGACGTCACCTACTGTAATGCCCATAGGGTAACGTGCCTAAGTGTCCTAGACTGCCTTGGAGAGGACCAAGCCCCGTAGTCCATTGTCCTCCTTGCAAGCATCCATTAAGATTACACAGATGCTCCAGGTCAAAAGTGGTGCTTGGAAGCAGATAGAAGTTTCAGGAGGTTCTATAAGGTTCTGTGGCCCTGGCAGTGTGATGTAGGTCATGTGTTTTGGGAGGTGGTGGAGGCTGCCTTTAATCCCCCAGTGCCCCGGAGTGGACCAGCCACTCTGAGAACTAGACCTGGGGTTAGGCTTCTCCTTTGGACCCCTGCCAACTCCCAGCTAGAGACAAAGCAAAGTCTGGGGGAAGACACCTGCTTCTTGGAAGAAGAAGGTGAGTGCCTGCCCGAATGTCTGCCTACCCAGGCCTTCAGAAGAACATCATTTTCTAAGTCTGACCCATTTTTCTCCCCCGCACTGTCTAGATGGCGCTTAAGTCATGGCACTCACTCTGTGTGTCACCTGGGGTCCCCGACTGCCCACCATAAACAGCTCACTCTTGAAGAATCCCTAGCATTCCACAACCTTTCCCTCTGTCTGTTCTGCCTGCATGTGGGCCTGCGGCCTCAGGCTTTTACCTCAGGGCTGCAATATGGCTGTTACAGCTCCAAGTTTCACATCCACATTCTGGGCAAGGAGGAAGGTTGCTGATTAAACATTTTATTTTCATTTTGAGAGATTTTGCTTTTTTCATTTATCTTCCAGAAAGCACACACACACACACACACACACGGAAGAGGAAAAGGCAGTTGTGTTAACTTTGACTCAGCACCCCATTCTCTCCCTAGGCTATAAGTATCCTCCTTGGAAAATGAAGGTGTTGGTCAGTACTGGGTGGCTTTCTCTGGAGGAATGCAAGTGTCTTCCTCACCAAGGCTCAGGGCCAGCTCACAGTTGGAATCCACTGCCTGATTCTGGCATCTCCTAGGTCATCTTCACTGGGCCCGGGGACTTGGAGGCTCTAGAGAACACCGTGGACCTGGCCTCCTGACCAAGGAAGGCTTCAGGAGAACCCTTGAGTGTGTTCATATCTGTGTGTATACATGCTTGTGCATGAGTGTGCACATGCATGTGGGGAGAAGAGGTCAAGCTCAGATACCTTCCTCAGACGCTGCCTCTTATTTTTTGAGACAGGGTTTGTTACCGGCCTGGAGCTCCCCAAGGGTGTTAGGCTGACTGGCCAGTGAGCCTCAGGGACCTGCCTGTCTCTGCCTTCCTAGTGCTGGTTGCAAGCATGCACTGCTGTATCTGCCTTTTTAAAATGTGGGTTCTGGGAATCAAACTCAGGTCCTCATGCTTAGCCAGCACACACTTGACCCACTGGGTCATCTCCACAGTCCTGTGGAGACAGCTGTGCACCTCAGGTTTCACCCTGGGCCTGCCTCCTGCCTCCTACAGTGTAGTGCTCTTCTCTGTGGGAGCAGTTCCCCCAAGGGGAGGCTCAGTCACCCCGCCCACGCTCACATGCCTGTCTCTTCCAGGGGGGCTGTAAGCTGGTCATGGTCTTCTTCCAGTACTGCATCATGGCCAACTACGCGTGGCTGCTGGTGGAGGGTCTCTACCTTCACACGCTCCTCGCCATCTCCTTCTTCTCAGAAAGGAAGAGCCTGCAGCTGTTTGTGCTCCTCGGATGGGGTATGTCTGTCCAGGGCGTTGGACCCGTGTGCTTTGCAAGGAAGGATGCTAAGTTGAGAGATGGGAGGATTCAGTTTCTAGTTGCAACTCCATCCATCCACCCATCAATCCACTCACCAAACTATCCACCATACACCCACCTGCCCATCCATTCAACCTATAGAGTATGCAGAGAGAGAAACCGGGGATTTCTTGTCTAGTCCTGGATCCACACTGAACTCACTTGGGTAATCTTTGGCAAGGTGCTGGATCTTTAACCATCCAACCTCAGGTTCCTTCCTTTCAAATGTGAAATAAGAGCTGTAATTTAGCGTCAACTCAATGTCGGGAATCTGAGCTCTTTCCAATTTTATTCTGCCCAGCACTTGCCTCCTCTTCCATAGATGATTCCTTCTCATGTCCTCTTTATGGGGATCCTTGCAAGTCTGAACTCAGGAGAGATGGCTCAGACAGACTTCAGCATAAAGAAGACAAACTGACCCACATAACTGACAAGTACAGAGATCACCAACTTCACACCAAGCTGAATTCAGGCATTTAATGTTTTCCCTTCTGCCTTTACATTGCCGTTTGTAACAGCAGCTTTATCCCCGCTGTTTTCTGTGTTATCACCAGGAGCTTGTGAGATGCCTGCTTTCTCACTACCAGGCTCCAAAAAGATAAAGACGAGGAACCTCTGGGTACACACACACACACACACACACACACACACACACACACACACACGCATGCACACACACACACACACACACACACACACACAGTCCCACTTATCTCATACATGTGACTGAGACAACCACAGGGGACTGAGGGAATGGAATGCACTGGAATGCACTGATGGCCGCAAGCCTCTCAAGCTACCTGGTTTCCAAAGGATGCTCAGGATTTAGTTTCTAGGAGAGAGAAAATGATAGCAATCAGTTGTGCAAAGGTCCCACAGCATGGTTTTTCTCCTGTCCTTTCTGGCCAAGGGAAATAACTTCCGTTTCTCGATCACTTACTGTATTCTAGGTGGTGGCTTGGTACTTTACACTAGTCACTTAATCAAGTCACAAACCTCCAGAAGTCTCTCAGAGACTTGAGCTCAGAGATGGGGTACATATGTGCAACTCACACTCTAGACAAGAGTGGATTCAGGGTTACCTGCCAGTAACAAACATCCACCCACCCACCCACTCAGTCACGTAGGTGCCAAATATCTGTCTATCTACCCATCCATCTACCCACTTATGAACACAATCTATACCCACCCACCCATGCATACATTACACACCCATACACCTCCCATGTATTCATTCATACACCCATGCACCTCCCCATACATCCATCTAGCCATCACTTATGAAGCCCAAACCCATCCATCAGTCCACCCATCTGTTCATCTAACCTACCCTTTTATTGTTCTTTTGATTTATCACATACGTAAGTAACCTCAAGGCTTAAGGTAGAATAAGGTTCCTTAGGAGTGGTTCACAAGCTTCGCTTGGTGTCTGCCTGGTGTCCCTGCAAGGAAACCCTCTTCTGGGGTTTCTGCTTGTCTAAATCCCCACAGGCTAGAGTCGCATCTTTCCATCAGACCAGCAGGGAGGCTGGCAAAACACACTGCCCCTCGTGCTCCAGAACTTCGGCCTAATTAGCACATGACCCTTGACCCACAGGGGCTTGTAGGGCCCTGCAGATGGCTGCATAGGCAAGTAATCCTGTTGGCAATCAGGGACTTGCCTTGGACTGCCCCTGATTTAGAATGCAGCTCACGGAACTCCACAGCCCTAATCGGTCAGGATCTGAGAAATCTATAAGATCAGGACCCCAACTGACTCAGTGCCCAGCAGTTCTTTGTGTTCAGTGCTCACAGAAATGCAGGAGTTAAGGCTGGGGGTGTGGTTCAGTTGGTAGCACACTTGCGTTCCATTCATGAATCGACTCCCTGGACAGCACTAACCTGGTTGGTGGTGCACACCTGCCATCCCAGGATCGCAAATACAAGGCCGTTCTCTTACACACACAGCGAGTTCGAGGACAGTCTGAGCAACAGGAGATGCTGTCTCCCACACATATTTACTAAAGCAATGCAAAGATTACTAACACCAGATTAGCAATCCCATCACCCCCAGGGCTTCAGTCAAGGAAGGAGATGTAAAAGTGTTTGGGATTGGACCCAGGGCCTCCTGTATACTACACACATGCTCTACCACTGAGCCACACTCCCCAGCCCTGCTCTTCAGCTCTGCTGTTCCCCCTAATGTTCATCCTCATGTTCCTCTCTCCATGGGGGATGATGCACTTGAGAGGGCACCCACGTACGTGCCAGAGGACCACCCAGGCATCACATCTTGGGATCCATCCACCAGGAAGACGGGAGCTGAACTTCCTAAGTGCTAGGCTGACTGGTGCTCAGGCTCCAGGACTCTGCCGGTCTCCACCCCCCCCAGTGCTGGCATTACAAGCATGCATCAGCTCACACAGCTTTTTCTCCAGGTCTGGGACTTGAACTCAGGCCCCCATGCTGGCAAGGCAAGCTTCTTATCCAGTGAACCGTGTCCCCAGCCCGAATTCTCACATTCCTGAACAACACACCCCGCTTTCTTGATCTTCCACCTGAAATACTGTTTTTGAGTTCCGATGGAAGATAAAGGTACCGAACCCCTCATCTGCACCTATGTTCCTTATTACTGGTCTTCACAGCCGTGGCTCAAGCCCACGTGTTCATTTACATATCCAGTGTGAACATTATCAGAGCTGTGAAAATACCGTTTACTGCTGAGCCAAGTGGTGTCCAATTATTTTGTTTTCTGTTTATTTATGTCTTATTTTTCCTAGAGTCATATTTTATTTGTACATTATTATTATTATTATTATTATTATTATTATTATTATTATTTTGATACAGATGTAATTTACCCATTGGGCTTAGACAGATTCAGGTTCCTGTGAGTGACTCAAAGTTTAGAGAGATAATCATGTTTCCTAACTACTAGCTTCATTTGGCTTCTCCCTGGTGCCTTTAAAGATTTTATTTTTTAATTTTGTGTGTGTGTGTGTGTGTGTGTGTGTGTGTGTGTGTGTGTGTGTGTTCCTGTGGCTTTATGTGTGTGTGCAGTACCTGTGGAGGCCAGAAGAGGGCATCAGATCCCCTGGAGCTGGAGTTACAGGCAGTTGTGAGCCAACCAGCTGGGGGTGGGAACTGAATGGGATCCTCTAAAAGAGCAGCAAGTACTCTAAACCATCAAGTCGTCTCTCCAGCTCCTCTCCCTCCTTTGTGCACTGAATTAACAAGTGTCTCTCCCAGGAATGCCCTCCTCTGACTCTTCTGCTTGTCTAAGTCTCCAGGTGCGAGGGTCTCGTCTCTCCGGTAGACCAGAAGAGAGGCGACCAATCGGACTATTTTTATTAATGCTTCCAAATCCTCTGAAAAACCCTTCAGTCTTATTTTACAAATCCTTAAATGCAATAGGAAATCTCTAAGTTCTTATATGTTTTGTCAACCTGAATTTTGTGTGTAATGTGTGTGTCTATGTGTGTGTGTATGTGTAGTGTGTGTGATGTGTGTGTGTGTGTGTGTGTGTGTGCACATGTATGTAGAAGTCAAAGGTTTATGTCAAGTGTCTTCCACTACCACTGTCCATTTTATCTTTTGAGATGGGGTCTTTCCCTGAACTAGAGCAGACTGATTGCCAGACTGAAGGGCAGTAGAGTCCAGGGCTGCCCCTGCCTCTGCTTCCCTCTCCCATGCTAAGACATCTATTGCCATGCCTTTTTCAAAAAGATACATTTACTTTTACTTTATGTGTGTTTGTTTTTATGTATGTATGTGTACCACAGAGGCCAGATTTGGGCATCAGGTCCCCTGGAACTGGAGTTACAAACAGTTGTGAGTCACCGTGTGTGTATGCTGGGAACTGACCCCAGGTCCTCTGGAAGAGCAACAAATACTCTTAACCGCTGAACCATCTCTCCAGCTCCCTATGGTGCTGGGGATACGAACTCAGGTTCACAGTGTGTATAGGAGTCTTTCTACTGACTAAGCCCATCTCTCCAGCCATGAATACCTAAATTTTTTTGAAAAGCAATTAGTCAGAGAGAGAGAGAGAGAGAGAGAGAGAGAGAGAGAGATATTATCTAACGACTGGTTTCAAAAATGCCAGGATTAGAGATGTATCTCAATGGTATGGCCCTGCCTAGCATGCTGGAGGCCCTGAGCTTGAACCACAAAAACATTAAGAAAAAAATGAGAGATGTCTTTGTGTTTTCAACTGTCACAAGGATGTCCTATAACACAGCTTCCCTCTCCTGCCCTCCCCTCCCCTGCCCTGCCCTGTCCCCTGCTCTCCCTTGCCCTCCCTGCTCTCCCCTGCCCCCTCCCCTCCCCTGCCTTCCTCTGACATTTGGTTGCCCTTTCTTCTACAAATGCATGTCTCCATTTCTTTTTCTTGCATTTTTTGTTTTTGTTTTGAGATAGGAATTCACTATCTAGATCAGGTTGACCTTGAACTTGCAATCCTTCTGCCTCAGTCTCCTCAGGGTTACATTACAGGCCAGTGGCTCTGATCCTTCCTTCCTTCCTTCCTTCCTTCCTTCCTTCCTTCCTTCCTTCCTTCCTTCCTTCCTTCCTTCCTTCTTTCCTTCCTCCCTCCCTCTCCCTCCCTTCCTCCCTCCCTCTCTCTCTCTCTCTTTTATATTTAGTATTCATGTATTTAATATGTGTGTGCATGGGTGTGTGCATGAGTGTGTATGGTGTGATATATGTTTGGAGAGACAGAGGGCACCTTGTAGGAGTTGACTTTCTCCTTCCTCCATATAGGTCCCTGGGGTGCAACTCACTGGGCCATCTTACCAGACCACGTCCTGGCTTTGGAAAATGCTCCTAGGCTGTCTCTTAGATCCTTTCCTCGTGCCCTGGCTTCAGGCTCTGCTGAAACTCTTTAATCACTGATCCATCCTCCCTTGTTCTTAGCTCCTGCTCTGCCTGCCCAGGTTCCGATGGTGTCTTCTGCCTTCCTTCCTTCCGGGGGATCTTGCCATTATCTTCCGGCTCCTCCACTGACTGTTTATTTTGGAAATCATGTGTTCGTTTCTCTGCCCTCTTTCTTTGTTCTCTGGATGCTCCCGGTTGGCAGCACCCTGCTGTCTCTTGTAGATGTAATCTTTCCCGACTCTCTGTGATCTCCTTGGGGTTGTTTTGTTCAAGTTCCTTCTGCTCCCTGCTTGGTCTGTTTCCTCTCAGTCCCTTTTCTCTGGCTGTTTTGTTTCTAGCTTTTGATGTAATCTGATGTCTGTGACCTTGACTTTCTGTTCGTAGTTAAGAATGAGTCAGTCCAGCGTTGATGGAAAGCCCCATTTCCCCAGGGAAACCAGCTGGGAAGTGGCTACTGTATTGGGGGTCCTAAGCTATTTCTAGGCTTTTTTAAAAAGTTGCCTTTATTTGTTTATTATGTACAGGTATGTGTATATGTATATGTGTGTATGTGTGTATATATATGTGTGTATGTGTATATATGTGTGTGTGTATGTGTATGTATATCTGTGTGTGTGTGTATGTATGTATGTGTGTATGTATGTATGTGTACGTGTGTGTATGTATGTATGTGTGTGTGTGTATGTATGTGTGTGTGTGTGTGTGTGTGTGTGTGTTGTGCAGTCCGTACACATGCCACAGTACAGATGTAGAGGTGAGAGGACAGCTGGTGGGCGTTGGTTCTTGAGTCCAGGGATCAAACTCAGATTATGAGGCTTAGTGGCAAGCACTCTGACCAACAAGTCATCTCAGCAGCCCTATTTCTAGGCCTTTTGTCTGGGGTCATTCAGTTTATTCCGAAAAGCATCCTTTAATGCCTTTGGTTGGAGTCAGGGGAGCAGAGTGAGGTAGAGATTTTCCTCCTAGAGATCTAAAAACATAGTAAGTAGCCCGGGCACCTGACCTCTCTCCATCCACAGTATAGACCAGCAAATCCAATAGAATCACTGCATAAACTTCAGTGAAAAACTAAGCAAGCTGGGTACAGTGGTGCTCTCCTGGGGCCTCGGCCACCAGGGAGGCTGCGGCCGCGGCACGAGTGTGGCTTCCGTCCAGGAGCTGGAGGCCACTGTTAACACCGGGAAACCTCGTCTCTCACACAGTAGACAGCAGAGTGCTTGTCTAGCAGGTACAAAGTTCTAGGTTCGGTCTCTAGCACCCAGCATGGTGGTGCTCACTTGTCAGCCCAGCACTCAAGAAGTAGAGGCAAGAAAATCAGGAGTTCAAGGTCATCCTCAGTTACGTATTGGGTCCCAGGCCAGCCTGGGCTAAATGAGATTGTCTCAAAGAAAAAGTAAAGCAAAGCAAACACCCAGACCTGATGGTGTGGGCTCCCAATGCTTCAGCAAAGTTAGCAGCTTTTCCACCAGCGGGCTCCTCCTCCGTCTACCCCATTCCTCCAGGTACATCCCACCTCAAACCAGGGCCTCACCAAACTGCATCCATGTGCTTTCTCTCCCTACCGGAAGTACTCAGGAATCTGGCCCAGGCTCCTGGGAGTATCCTAACCCCATGTGGCTCTCAGGTTCCATATGAACCCACTGCAGTTTTTAGGGTGCTGACAGGACCCCGGAAGCATGTGGCTGCACTCTAATCTAAGATGCCAAAGGGGTTTCCATGGCAATAAAATCTTGTCATCCGCCTGTTACCTTTGAAGACACACCCAGAGCCTTGTCTGTTCAGTCATTCTAAACTCTGTCAAGCTGACAGTCAACATCAAACGTCACACTGTGTCTCCCTTTGTTTTGACCATCAGGTTCTCCGGCCATTTTTGTTGCTGCATGGGCTATCACCAAGCACTTTCTAGAAGACATCGGGTAAGCTGGTAGGAGGAGGAGAAGCAAGATCCTGGCACAGCATTTACAGCCAGCCTCTGGAGCGGCTGATTCTGCAGCTAGGCATTCAACCAGCCTCACTGCGGGCCTGAGAATGCTTGCCTCGCATGCATGAAGTCCAGAGTTTGATTCCAGCACTGCATTAACTGCATGTAGCAGAGAAGGATGGATATACCCTTAAGATTAAAGAATGTTTTAATTATGTGCATATGTGTAGGTGTGTGCATGTGTGTGTAGATGTCCATGGAAGCCCAAGAGGGCATTGGATCCCCTGGATCTGGATTACAGGTGGTTGTGAGCTGCTCTACATGGATGCTGGGAACTGAACTTAGGTTCTCTGCAAGAATAGTATATGTTCTTAACCACCGAGCCATCTCTCCAGCCCTGAGAGGAACAGACCTTAATGGTGGTGGGCTCATGTTATGATGACTAAAGGCATAAACACAGTCTTCCTTTCAAGGGTTGCCTGGGAAACATGTCTGCCAGTCAGCCTAGGTCCCCACTCCTAATGATGCCTAAACACTCTCTTCCATAGATGCTGGGACATCAACTTCAACACTTACATCTGGTGGCTTATTCGAGGGCCTGTGATTCTGTCCATCCTGGTGAGTAGCCATCCTCTCCTGAGCTGGGGACAAGTAGGGGACACTGGACCAGTGAGCAACCCGAGGGTTGGACAGCTTGGAGCTTGAGTTCCCCGTGGGTGCCATGAGGGTGGAAACTGCAGGATCCCAGAGGTTGGCAGGCAAGCTGTTCCCTAAGGAGTGGCGGGAGGGAGGGAGGAAGGCTTGTCGGGATCATTCACCTTGTCTCTTGAGACACAGTCTCTCACTAGGACCTAGAGCTCATAGATTTGAGAATAAACAACTCCCAAATATCCTGCCCCCCCCCAAAAAAAACCCACTGCCAACAATAAAACAAACAGAAACCGAATCCTTCCCAAGCATGGTGAGTTAGTTTCATCCCTCTGGAGACAGAGGCAGGAGGGTTGAGAGTTTGGGGCTTGTCTGAGCTCCGCTGTAGAATGCTGTATTAAAGAGAAGAGTGCGGGCTGGTGTGATGTTCAGTGAGAAAAAGCACCTGCTGTGCACACCTCACCACGGGACTTCCATCGCCAGAACCTGCAGTGGGAGAGAGAAATGGTTACTGCAAGTTAGCCTTTGACGGCCATGCACACGTCTGTGCATGTGTGTGCGCACGTGTGCGCGCATGTGGGAGAATGTGTGCAAACACAGATATAATTAAAGTAAAGAAATTAAAAAAAAAAAGTGGACTCCAAGGCTCAGCCAAATCTGCATTCATCCAGATTTACAGGGGACTCCAAGCCCCAAGAGCGAGTGGTCTGGCTGGCAGTTGCTTAGACCCATGAGCCACTGAGCCGGGACACAGGGTGTTTCGATTCCAGCTGCGGTCTCTGGATTTATGTGTCACTGGAACTCTGGGTGCAGGGATGAACAGCCATGATTTGCTGTCCTGGCTGGGGAGTCTTTCCTGTCCCCAGCTCTAGGGGTCAGGGCCAGGACAGAGGACTCAGGAAACAAGACCCCTTTAGCTTGACCTCTGCCTTGTGCTTTGCAGATCAATTTCATCTTTTTTATAAACATTCTAAGAATCCTGATGAGAAAACTCAGAAGCCAAGAAACAAGAGGAAATGAAGTGAACCAGTATAAGTAAGTGTAAGGCAAAAAGCTTGGCCTGCGGGGGCAGTCAGCAAGCATCTATTGAGCACCTACTGTTTATGCCAGTAGTGCCAAGTACAAAGACAGGCCCAGGGCATACCTGTGGTGTAACTGGGGTGGGTGGGTAGAAATATGCCTGACTATGAAGGCTCAGACACTGTGGGGAGAGAAAACTGAAATCAGACAGGAAGGCTGCAAGCAGAGATCTGACCACCGCGATCCTGGCAGGCGGGGGAAGTGGGTAGGAGGTGCTGAGATGAGGTGGGGTAGAAAGGCACAGCAAGGCAGAAAGCTGGGTCTCCACATTTGCTGAGCACAGCAGCACTAGCACAGGCCTCTGGTTTACACGATGGTCAAGTTGTTGAATGGATATTTATTTAGATGTTACCAATAGAGGTGGGTGGTCGGAAGCACTAAGACTTGGCCATGAGTCTGGCGAGTGTTGCGTCTGGGTGATGAGCATGTGGGAACTTTGGAGACTTGGCAAAATAAGTGAAAACAAGTTGGAGATGTTATTCTGTAACAGAATACTTGCCTAGCGTGAGTGAGGGCCGAGGTTCAGCACCCAGCACTGCAAAATACACAGATCATAGATAGGTGGGTAGACAGGCAGAGGTCACATAGGTAGTTATATGGATGGATGATACATACAGATACAAACATTCAAAGATGATAGATAGGTGATAAACAGTTGATTGATACATGATAGATGAGCAGGTACATACAAAGATAATTGGCAGATGATAGATAAATTGCTGGTAGATACACAGACAACAGATATAGTTAGACAGACAGATGATAGATAGATAGATAGATAGATAGATAGATAGATAGATAGATAGATAGAT